CCTTAGGTTGCAGACATTTTTGGAAGCTCTTGGTATCAATTGGACAAAGTCCTGGGCAAAGTGAATTAATTCAAAAGATATTTTGAAGAACCTGCTGATCGCTTCTCCTTCCCTACAGCTGCCGTGGCCTCAGTAACAGGTTGACTGGAAGATGATGGCCATGAGGTGATGTTAGGCTCATGCTGGCCTACTTAAGCCCACGAGGTCACAGGGAAGGCAAGAGCTTCAAATTGGCACTAACTCACAGCAGCCATTCAGGGAACCCCCTCCAGGCACAGCCCTTTCCCACCCAGGACATCAAGAACAAGCTAGAAAGACCACAGCCTGTCCCATGGGCATGTTTTTTCCTTGCTACTAGGAATGGATAGTCTCTTAAAGAAAGTGCCAGGAGAAGGGTTCTAAGTTAGTACAATGGATCCAGCCCTGTTTTCTAAACACTAGAAGAATTGGGGTCCAAACATAGGAATCAGGAGCTCTCACCCACCGTCTGACCTCTGATACCCTGGTTTCACCTTTTATTCCCTGCAGATGCCCCTGCCCACACTCTGGCAGCATCCACACTGGGGTTTTCTGGCACAGACCTTGTGCTTTCCCAGACATTTCCGTGGCCTGAGTGTGCCCCTCACCCCCAACATGAAAGTCTGGCACCATCTCTCTAGGGCTGGGAGGTGAGGAGGCTGTCCTGTCCTCTCCTTGGCCACTGTGCATCTCATCCGTTCTGTCCACTCTTATCTCCCGCCACTCTGCAGGCAGGGCCTGAGCCCCTCGCTTCTGCTCCTGGGGTAGCCCAAGGGCACACAGTAGGTACTCAACAAGAGTGTTCTTACAAGAAGGGTGAGGGAGCCTCTGCTTCGGGAGCCTCTTGGAGATCATTTGAAGCCTGGCTTTTTGGAGAGAAGTCAGGCTAAGCCAAACAGCCTTTTCTGTCCACATTTCTGAGGGAGAAGAAGGTGCAGGCAGCCAAGGGGAGTGTGAGCATGCCAGGCAGATAATTATGTGTTCTTGGAAGCAGGTTTAGTGGACTGGCTCCGAGCTGAGCTGGGAACAGACTCTGAGGCCTGCGCCTTCAGCCGGGACGTGGCTGGGGCAGGGATTCTGCCGTCCAGTTCTAACAAGTGGCCAACGCCTTATTGAAACTTTTGAAAACTGTTCTGTGTGGGACCAACCAGCTTGTACTTCACTGGGTTGCCCCAGCCACCTTCCCCTTCCATCTGGGAGCACAAGAGGGGAAGCTAAACACCACGCACACATCCCATGTGCCAAGAACCAAGTCAGCAATTTCACTGCCCTAAGAACCCTTCATTGTCCTATAAAAAGGGAGAGGCAGAGGCCCACACAGTCCCTGGTGGCAGGGAAAGGGTGAAGCTGGGCATCAGAGCTGCAGCCTGGGCTCTTTCCAGACACAGCGACCTTCTCTTTACAAGGTCATTTTTGCTGCGCGTCTCACTCCAACCCCAAAGCCAAAAATTCCCCCGTTTGAACAGGATAAACAATCCCATGGCAAAGGAACGCTGTGTTCCCCAGAGGAGATGCAATCACATTGCTCCTGCCGAGGCTGTGCAGGCTTATGAAACAGAACACGGGACCGAGGGCCTGGACCTGGGCCCGGGGGGGACCCCTTCCCTCAGCCCCCAGCTGTGCCCTGCCCAGGAGGGTGACTCCTCCCTGACTCTGAGCTGTACCCCACAAGACAGTTGGAGAAATAGAGGAGCACAGGGAGAGGAACTGGGTCTAATCTTGACTCCAGGGCAAGCTGCCCATGTTTCTGGGCCTCTGCTTGGTGTGTCCATCCTGAGGGAGAGAACTGGCTTCAGAAAGTGCTCAGGCTTACATCCTTGTGAGAAACAATGCCTGCTTTGCTCTCTTGCACCTTGATTTCTCTGTTTGTAATTGGGAAGATTGTTTGCATCAAGGAAAGACTCCAAGGTGGAAAAGGAAGTGCCTTTTTAGAGATGACTCTGGCCTAATTTTAGTGCCCTTAGTCTGTGGGCTCCACCCCTGTGCCATCATTCATTCTTTGTGCAATCATTCGTTCTTTCCATCCCTTATTAAACATATATCGAAGGCTTGTTATATATCAGGCTGGCTCCCCAGCCTTGCAAATACAGAAATCCTCAAAGAGAATAGGCCCTCTTCTTAAAGGGCTCATAATGTATACATACATTTTCCATCAAAAGATATATAAAAAATGTTTGCAGTCTCATTATTAGAAAAGGTTATCTAAGCTACCCATTCTCAACTCCCACTTGTGTACCGGAGTCCCATCCCTTTAAAAAAAAAAAAAAAAAAAAAAAAAAGTTTCTTGATTAGATGACAGACATTGCTTTTATATTTTAACATTTCTGGAATCAAAATGCATCTTACAATTCTGATAGACAGAATTTTCTTCTTCCTTGGGGATACACAAACTAAAGATACATCTTAAAAATGATAACATCTTAGATTCAATGAAGTACATTTGAGGAAAAATGTTATTTTTTCAACTGGACTTTTTAGTGGATTTCACAGCCACTGAATTTAACAGAAGGTCGTTCCAAAATATTTCTATTTCACCCAGATGTGTGGTGTCATGGAAATCATGTGTCTAGATATCTAGTTAGTTACTCCTCTCTTTTTATCTGGATGGTTTGGAAGGAATCCTGCAAAGGAGCCAGGATGCTTTACCACGTCATGGCCACCAGAGGGAGGAAGAGCATTGGAGAGGAACAGGTTGTCAGGTTTGTTAGCTTTTGCTCTCAAACCTTCCCCGCATGCTCTCTCCCCCCCCTCCCCCCCCAGAGCAATCTGAAACTCAGGATACTCACCTCCAGTGTCAGAGGAAAAGACCCCCTTCCAGGCAGGTGGCAGAATCAAAAAGGGGAGTGGGTTGGATCTGAATGATATTGGCAGATCTTCGCTCAAAATCAGCTATTGTTTAAATGAGTTTTTCCCGGGAATGAGGACAGGTGCTAGACATAGCAGAGTTCTGGCTCGAAATTGCAGGGTTGGTGGGTGGCCCTATACCCTACTTAGGCCATTCAGGTCTCATGAGACACACATGATTTGTAAAGCTCTCCAAGGAAATGTTCCCTCTATAGTATCACCTATAGCTTTCTGTCCTACCTCCCCTCATTTAACTATTTATTTATTGAGCACCTACTATGTGTCAAGCACTGTGCTGGGACTGGGGTTACAGCAGCAAACAGAACAGAGAAGGTCACTATCCTCATGCATCTTAAGTGCCAGTAAAGAAGCAGATACTATGCAAATAAATATACAAATAAATCTATCATTGAGCGGTGCAAAGAAAATGCCATAAGAAAAAATTCTGGGTTCTCTGACAACATGTGACAGGAGAACACATTCAGGGGTGGGTCTGGGAAGGCTTCTCTGACAACTGTTCATTGAGATAAAGCATGAAAGACGAGAAGGAGTTAGCTAGGTAAAGAGCAAGGTAGAGACCTAGGCACATGGATCAGCATTTGATGTGGAAATGTACTTACTTAACACCTTTTAGGCACTAAAATGAGGCCAGTGTGGAGCCCACAAAGGGCAAGAAAAGCACAGGATGGACTAACACCTAACAGAAACTCAGTGATACAGAGCCTTGCATGTCATGTAAAAGGCATATTTTTCCATCTGTAGTCATTGAAAGGTTTTAAGCAAGGAACTGACATATGTGGATTTAAGTATTAATAAGACATCTCTGATTACCCTGAGAAGCATGGCTTGGAGGAGAAATCTGAGAAGTGGGGAGTCCAATTGGGATTTACCAGAAAAGTGGCAAGGGGTGATGACAGTTAAATAGTAACATTGGACATGAAGGTGTATTGAGAGATAGAAATACTGGATTTGGAGATTGGAGAAGCAGGGAATATTGAGTTTGACTCCTGAGATTTCTGAAGGAGCAATTTGGAAAGGAAAGAGGACTTGTCTTTAGATAAGCGCCTTTGAGGGGAAAGGACAGGACTAAGGAAGAAAATGTTATGAGTTGTTTCATTGTATTAACTTTCAGCTACTTCTGGAACATCCACAGGTGTAAACTAGACAACTAAGTCAATGAATCCAATGCTCAAAACTGGGCTGGGAATGCTAGATTTTGGAGTCCTGACAAGATCAAACCATGGCAAGAGCTGAATTCAACTGGGAAGGAGCATCTCTAAAGAGAACATAATCTAAATCATATTGAAGAGGCTATGTGCAGGTCCAAAGCCAACTCTCGAAGAGACAATAAAGTAAATGAAGACATAACTGAACTGAAGAGGAGCCAGAGAAGAATGGTTAAGATTACTGAATGGGAAGGGGAGAAGTGTAGCACTACCTGGGACACCAGAACAGATTGAGAAACTGAGAGCCTCTGGCACATGTTGTTCACAAAAGCATGTCATGACATAAACCCTGGCCCTAGTGGTCTCGCATAGAGGGGGAAGGATGCCCAGCCTGGTGCACACAGCTTCAAACAGATTATACCAGAGTTTCTTACTGTTTCTAGGAAAGGAAAAGGGGGAAGGAGATGGAAAGAGCACTGAGGGCAAAGGGGAAGAAGAGATAGATTCTGAGGTCAACTCTAAGCAATGTAGGTGCCCTAGCAATTAAGAAAACAAGTTTCTTTTAGATCGCCATTAGGTTGGAAGAATCAGATCTATGTGTATGTATTAAAGGAAAATATATGTACAGATAGTATAATGACCAATATAAAAGTTAGAGAAAAATAGTTCAGAAATTATTAAAAAAAAAAAAAAAAAAAAGAGGAAACACCTATTCTGGGTGTCAGAGAAATCTTCCCAATGGAATGGGCTTTCTTCTGGACGTGGAAAAATGGGGGGATTTTGAAAGGTAAACTTGACATGGATGGAGAAATGACTCTAGGCTGTTCTAGCAGCACAAACTTCTGGAACAGCAGGTCCCATGTGTGTCAGGGAAGACTATATGCTTTCTGAGGCCTCTATTCAGCCTCAGCCAAGTCCATGTGAGCCCAATCCTGACCCACCTGTTCTGCTCTTTTTTTTTTCCCCCACCAGTTGCATGACCAATGAGTGGCCACCCCCTGAAGGAGATGTCTGAAACTCACAGCAGTCCTCTTCTGGCAGAGCCTCTTTCCAGCAGATACAAACTCTATGAGTCAGAGTTAGCCAGCCCTACCTGGCCCTCCAGCCCTCAGGATACACACCCAGCCCTGCCCCTCCTGGAAATGCCTGAAGAAAAGGTGAGGGAAGTTTCTCCTAGGATGTTTCTCAGGTGGGGTTGGGGTAGGGTTTGGAGACGGGTAGTGAAAGATGCTATTTTCCCAACTACCCAATGCCTGTATTATATAATGCCACAGAGGGGTCATTGTTAAGGGGGTTCTATCCCAAGTCAATACATGGTCACTCCCATGATTAGTCCTACTTGGCCTAAGATAAAAATGTAGCTTGTGTGCAATATGATTTTAAGGACAATAAATGTACACACTCATACACCAGTCTTCCAACCAGTCTTCAAAATCTTGCCCTTTAGACTTGACCCCTTGAATTACGTATTGTCTCAAAAAAGAAAGCCTTCATTCAAATGCCAGTCTTTATTTTTTATGTATTTTTATTGATTTCATAGAGGAAGAGAGAGATAGAAGCAGCAATGATGAGAGAGAATAATTGATCAGCTGTCTTCTGCATACACCTTACTGGGGATCAAGCCCACAATCCAGGCATGTGCCCTGACTGGGAATTGAACCATGACTTTCTGGTTCATAGGTTCAACTACTGAACTACACTGGTCAGGAAAATGTCAGCTTTTAGCACTCCTTGAACACAGTAGCTCAGAGGTAGCCTGACTCTAGCTACTAATACAGTGGAGAGGGATACAAGCCAGCAATAACAAACCCTGGGGAGAGAGAAGAATCTGATTTCCAGAGTTGCCACACTATATTATTTAAAACATCCAGTTTTCAACAAATAATAATGAGACATGCTAAGAAATAAGAAAGTATGGACAGGGGAAATAAACAGTCAATAGAAACTGTCTTTGAGGAAGCCCCAACATTGAGTTACTAGAAAAAGATTTTAAATCACCTTAAATACAATTAAGGAATAACAACAACAAAACATGTCTAAAGAGTTAAAGGAAAGTATGAGAAGTATGACCATAATATCTCACCAAATAGAGACTATCAATAAAGAGGGAATTATTTGAAAAAGAAACAAGTAAAAATTCTGAAGTTGAAAAGTATAATAGAAGTGAAAATTTGCTAGAGAAGCTCAATATCAGATCAGAGCAGTCAGAAGAAAGAACCAGAAATTTTAAAAATAAGTCAATTGCTGGCATATCTGTCTAATGCTTTTCTGAACTAATTCTAGATAGTCTAAATTTTTTATCATTTCTAACCGCTGATCTTTCTCCTCAATTAGCCTACTGGTCAGCCAACGACTCGATAGGCATATTCCAAGGGGTCTATGTGCTTTTGGGGGTATATCTCCAACATTCATCCAGGCAGTTTTTTACTCTATCTCAACCTGCACTTTCTGCTTCTACAGAGACTCAAACTCAGCAGGTGAGAGCTTAGGGACCTCTCAGTTCTCCTTTGAACTTGCACACTGTCCTACACATACATGCGGCCTTCTAGATTCACAGAAATACCCCCAAGCTTTTCAAAACCCCCTTTGGACATCTCATTCCCCAGTTTATCTGTTTAAGCTTTGACTGGCTCATCACTCTCCCCAATTGTTATCCACCATCTCAGGCACAATTTTTTCCATTGCTCTCATTTCCTTAATAGAGAGAACTTTAGGTATACAATTAAAATATAATGCAAGCCACATGTGTAAATTTAACTTCTATTAACACGATTTAAAAAGTAGAAAGAAGCAAGTGAAATGAATTTCAATAATATATTTTACTTAATCCTAATATATATGAATATATATGTTATTTCAATATATAATCAATATAAAGTATCACTGAGATATTTTGCACATTCTTTTTATACTAAGTCTTTAAAATTCACTTAGAGCACATCTCAGTTTAGACTAGTCACATTTCAGGTGCTCCATAGCCACATGTCCTGTTAGCTACTATATGGACAGCACAACTTGAGAGCAAGGAGTCCTGACCAAGAGGTCCACAGATAGAATTGTGGGGTAGGAATTTGGGAGGTAGGTTAAGTAAGTCACCTTTATTTTTATTAATTGCCAACAAACTTTCACATTTACTTCAATTAGGAATATAGGAAATGAACAACAATCATATTAGCACATGTGAGATTTTTGTCACAGATTGGGCTCCCCTAGGAAGCTGACTGGGATATTTGCATATAAAAAACTTACAGGGGCCTTAGCCAGTTTGGCTCAGTGAATAGAGCATGGGCCTGCGGACTGAAGGTTCAATTCCAGTCAAGGACATGTACCTTAGCTGCAGGTACATCCCCAGTAGGGGGTGTTGCAGGAGGTAACAGATAGATATTTCTCTCTCATTGATGTTTCTGACTCTCTATCCCTCTCCCTTCCCCTCTGAAAAAAAAAAAAAAAAGGTAATTAAATATATTTTTAAGAAGAAGAAGAAGAAGCTTGCAGGGGTATGCCACTGGGGTCAGTACTTACAAAGAAGTAAGTCAGCAGGATTAGAGAAGAAGCTGGGCTGTGATGCAGTCACAGTAGAAGCCTCGCTACTCCTGTGGTGAGCACTGGAGCTGGGATGGCCCTGCAGCAATCCTGAGTTAGAGTGGAAAGGCCCCAGGCATTCACTCCTCACTACCCTAAAATCATAGTAGGTCTTGGATCTGCCACGCCTATATGTGTATCACAGTCTTTTCTAATATTGTGATCACTGCATTTCAGTGTCATTGGTTTTCTTTGTAATGCTACTTACTTTATTCATTTCTAAACTTTTACATTCTGAAAGGAAGTCCACAGTCTTGCCAAGTTGCCAAAAGGAATCCCTGGCACAAAGTGTTAAATGCTCTGTGAAGAATGTGTAGAGATCCTGTGAAGAGCTGGTCTGTGTGGGGCAGTCGGGGCACCGTGAGACAGTGCATATTTGTCTTATGATCCTTTATATTGAAAAGGGAAAACTGACAACCTTCTTTATCCCCAAATGCTCCTGCTGGCAAAAAGCTAAATTATCTGATATTTTGTCATGCCTTCTCCTGAAAGGATCTTCTTTCATCCAACGAAGAGAGCCACATCGTGAAAATTGAAAAACCCAATGAAAGGAGTAAAAGGAGAGAAAGCGGGGCAGCCCCCCGGGGCTCAGCAGGCCGGGGAGGCATCAGCCTCTTCCAAGCAGTGAGCTACCTGACAGGCGAGATGAAGGAGTGCAGGAATTGGCTGAAAGGTAAGTCAATGCCCAGGGAAGAAGCAGCCAGGCCAGGCCAGTGGGACAGCCCTACCTCTGGCTTGGAGAGAAGAAGCCGCTTCCTTACTCAACCATGGTGAGGGCTCCCACCGATGGGGTGCATCAGCCCTGAGTTGACTTGGGGAGGTGTAACATACCCTAATAACTTGGAATTCCCAAGGTTTTGGAATTAAATGCATTTCACTCGTTTTGGTTGTTTGAAAATTCTTCACTCCTTCAGGGAATAATGGGATAGCTATAGGACAAACACTTAGCATATAAGCCATTTCCCAAACAAGCTGATTGGTCATTCTTTCACTTTTGCTGGCTATGTATTATGTGCCAAGTATTAGCATCACCCCACCAATACTCCAGAGTTTTTTTCTTTTTAATGTCTTTCTTCTGATTATTTCTCTAAACTAAATGCTTCAACAAACACACCTCACCTCCCTGCCCCCACTTGTATGAAATGTACTGGAAACCAACCCAGAGAATGAGATCAAATGTATGTTCCCTCTTCTGGACCTGGCTTCTTCCAGGTCCTGACTCAATACTATTGTCACAACTGTACTAAAATCATTTCTGTCCCAGCTTCATTTCTCCAGACTACTGTTTCTGCTGCTCAGATACCAGCCCTCAACTGAGTCATACAGCGCTATATAAAAAGAGCTTCCTTCCCTCTCCACCCCTTCCCTTGGATCAATAAATTTCCCTTGGAATGTTCCTGGGGCTTCCTTGCCAACCAAGCCAATGGCTGGAACGGCGTTAAATTGGTCTCAGCATGGTGCCTCGGTGTGTAATGCAAAACTAGCACCCATGCAGACTGATTGCCTGGCCACTGAGACATGGGCTGGGTGCCAGGCTGAATGAAGGGAAGTGTCTTGGCTCGTGCATCCCTGTCTGCTTTGGTTGCCACGCCAACCAGTGGTCCAGCAGGGAAGGACAGGCTGGACTCTGCTAATGGCTCTGGTTCTGCCCATCTCTTTCAGATAAGCCGCTGGCCCTGCAGTTCACAGACTGGGTCCTAAGGGGGACTGGTCAGGTGATGTTCGTCAACAACCCTCTCAGCGGGTTCATCATCTTCATCGGGCTCCTGATCCAGAATCCCTGGTGGACAATTGCTGGGGGTCTGGGGACAGTGGTCTCGACCTTAACTGCCCTTGCCTTGAGCCAAGACAGGTGGGTCTCTTTCCATGTTGGTTTTGGGTCTTGAGGCAGACAGATGGAGAGGTGATCACTTGTGGTCAGCCTACTTTATTCTCTCAGCCAGGCCAAGGTCTCTTGAGTCTCAGCTTTGAACAGATCATTGGAGGTCCTTACAGAATTAAACCACTCCTATGCTCACACCAAATGACAGAGCCAGGCTCCATTTGACTGTAGAGCCTTCTGGAAACACTTCCTCTGGGGCAGATGCAGAACATCAAGGCAGTTCTTCCCTCATGGAGCCTGCAATCTAGTTGAGGGGGACAAGACTAACAGGCAAGAAATGTCTTCTAATAATACAAGACAGTATGTAATGCAGAGTTTGGAAAGGCAAATTTAAGCCAAATATGCATCAGAATAAAATCCAATCCCTCAACTTGGTTCCAAAGCCTCTCTAATAAATCCACCCTACCTCCTACTCAACATCACACTTGTTCCAAATTGAGCATTATTGCTTTTGGGTATCTACCATTCCCTCAATCTCTCCTCCTCCAGGGAGCCACCCTGATTGCCTCAGTGTGCTCTGACCCTTTCTTTCTCTCGGAACAACCACAGACTGTACCCCATTACTATATTAGACTAGAAGCCCAGTGCATGAAATTCATGCACAGGGAGGGAGGGGTGTCCCTCAGCCCAGCCTGCACCCTCTCCAATCTGGTACCCCTGTGGGATCAGGCCTAAACTGGCAGTCGGACATTCCTCTCATAATCAGGACTGCTAGCTCCTAACTGCTTGCCTGCCTGACTGCCTGCCTGCCTGATTGCCCCTAACCACTTCTGCCTGCCAGCCTGATTCCCCCTAACTGCTCCCCTGCTGGCCTGGTTGCCCTCAACTGCCCTCTCCTGCTGGCCTGATGGCCCCAACTGCCCTTCCCTGCTAGCCTGTTTGCCCCCCAACTTCCCTTCCCTACAGGCCTGATTGCCCACAACTGCCCTCCTCTGCCAGCCTGATTGCCTACAACTGTCCTCCCCTGTTGGCCATCTTGTGGCGGCCATCTTGTGATGATGTTGTGCAAGGGTGTGACACCATCTGGGCTCTTATTCTATAGGATGATTCTCTAATTTCTTTCTGAGTCTTCTCTCCCTGACTATGTTCTAAACATGTCCAAAATGAGAAGTCCAGTCCAAATGTTTCATATTCCACTCAGTACCTAGAAAAGATTTGAGCTTCATTACTGATAGGTCAGTACCATGTCCTACACCACAGGTACATAATTCCAGGCACCTTACATACAAATTCTTCCAAAGAGCCATGACTTCACCACTATCCACAATGAGCCACTGACACAGCCACATATCCGGGTCAGAAAATGCACCACTTCCCTCTACCACCATCCCTACTATCCCACCCCCATCACCACAGCCTGAGACTGTAGTTTACAGATAGTAACCCGAAGTCAGTAACACTGATGCTGCCATATTGTAATGGAACATGATCCTAATGAAGATCCTTTGGCATTGGGGTTGAACCTAGTTTTACAGTTTTGATGGTCAGAGCAGGGGTGTAAGGTAATGGGTTTCCTCCTGACAACCAAATCCAGAAGCCACCAGACTTTTGGCAGAGAAGAGTTCTAGAATGGGAGGGGGCACTCTCCACCACACACACACACACACACACACACACACACATACATATACACATAACTTTCCGGTGTCACACCTCAGGTTTCTTTCAGATTTCCCTCTATATGTAGCAATCTGAGACTCCCCTGAGAAGGAGAGTGTAGTCATAGAAAAGACAGAAGTGCATAATTTAATTCTAGATCAGCAAAGGTAATCAAGGCATACACACTGTGTGTGTGTGTGTGTGTGTGTGTGTGTGTGTGTGTCTGGAAGGTGCTGGCAGCTATGTGATTGCCCAACATCCATTGAATAAACTGACTTCTCTGTGAGCAGCAGGAGAGAGGGACAATGAGGTCAAACGCAGAGTAACTCTGCTTCCCCCCAGGTCCGCGATCGCCTCCGGACTCCACGGATACAATGGGATGCTGGTTGGACTGCTGATGGCTGTGTTCTCCAAGAAGTTTGACTATTACTGGTGGCTTCTGTTTCCTGTGACCTTCACCGCCATGGCCTGGTGAGACACCTCATTGTTTCTGCTCCCAGACCCACCGAGCCCCAAAATGACTGTGTCTCAGACTAGACAGGGACGTGCACCGTCACAAGGCCCCACATCTTCACAATCAGGCTGGTCTGTCCTGAAAGACATTGTGGAAGTCCATGAGTTCAGTCACACCCAAGAGGATCATGTTTGGAGTGACAGGAACCCTTTAAAGCAACAAAGCACCGCACATTTGGTCTTGTGCTGATATCCCTCCTTGCATTACAGGCCTCATGAAAAAGGCTGACATTCATTTCCTACATGCACAGTGCTAAGCAGTGTAGGACTACTGCAGTGCCCATGTACAGAAGGAAAGACCAAGGCACACAGAGATTATATAGCTTGTCCCAAGGTCACACTTGGTAAAAAGTGATCACTGCTAGCCTTCTGAACCCAGAGTCTTCACTACTAAACCCCAGGCTCTATGATAATCATCTATCCTACAGCTGAACCAAGATCCAAAAGCTGAAAACTCACTGGTGATAGATACATAGAGCCTTCCTGGACCAGTGCATCTGTATTTAGAGCATAGAGTCTTTGATGAGAAACATCAGTTGAGATCTTACTGTGAAATCACCTCATTTTGCAGAAGGAAGGTAAAGTAAGGGGGGAGGGTATTAGGAACTACCCACTGGGCACAGTGTGTGCGAGGCTTTTTACTCGTGGGGCCTTAGTTCACTTGCATCCATAGCAGGCCTGCCGGGTCCGAGGGCACCTGCTGAATGCAGAGACAGGAGGCCCAAAGCGAACCCGTAGTCTCCAGCCCTGGGCTTAACCTCCTCTCAGACATGCTGACTGGTTTTTAACATCTCTAAGAAGTAAATGTCTTTCTTTGGTTTCAAAGTCTAGAGTTACTAAAAGCAGTTAGTTTAATGTAGTTTAAGTACTGTTCCATTACTTTTTAGTAGTGCTTGCAAATAAATTACTACATTGAGCATTCCAGGCAATTTACGTTTTTTCTTGGGGCTTCTTTCTTAATCTATCAGGACAAGCAGCTAAAGCAGTCAATTCTGTTGGGGATTTCCTTAATGTTTCCCACGGGCCCCCATGTAAGGAGTAGGAGGACTTATCCTTATTTGCATACATTTGGTTTATAACTACATAGATTAAGCCCCTTGGCACAGTTCCTCAGCCACATCACACTGGGTGGCAATTTGGCTGAGCTGTGTGCACTACTATAGTTGTTCACTTATCTCAGAGTCCTTAAAAGCAATCCACAGCATAGGTATTAGCAGTGTCATTTTCCAGGTTTATTCAGCTAATGTTTGCTGGGTGTCTGCTATATGCTTGGACTACTCTAGGTGCTAGGGACCATTGTGAACAAGAGAAGGTCTCCATCCTCTTAGACCTTACATTTTTCTTGGTAAAGATAGAAATAAACACATGAACAGGTGAATTAAAAAGGTCATTTCAATGTGTGATAAGTACTTTAGGAAAACAAGATGGGACAAATGCAACAGAGAATGAGTCCAGATGTGGATGTCATGATGCCACTGTGCAGAGAGGTGTTTGACCTTAATGACAAGAAGGTCCTGACATCTGCAGATTTGGGTGAACGATGCTGCAGGCAGAAGCAGAACATGGACAAAGACCCCAACTGGAGTCATGTGATGTATTCAAGAAACAAAACCAGTCAGGCTGAAACCCAGAATGGAGGGGAGCAGAAGGTGAGGCAGAAGTAGATGAGGGCCAGACCCTATATGCCTTGTAGATCAATAGGCCTTTGAATTTTCATTACAACTGTGATGGGAAGCAGTCAAAAGGTTTAAGCAGAGGAGTGGTGCAATATGGTTTAAATTTAAGCAAATAACTCTTCTTTCAGTGTGGAGGATGGATTTCAACTGGACAGAGTGAATACTAAAGGCATAGTGAGTTGTTGGCTACAATAACCCACAAAAGATGAGGACAGTCTAGAATAGGATGGTATATTGGAGATGGTGAAAAGTGGTTGGGCTTGGGTATATTTTAAGGAAAGTAGAAGCAATAATAGGACTTCCTGAGAGGCTGTGGGGTATGGGGTTTGTGGGGGCTGACTCAGATACTCCTATAACTTTCCTGAGCACCTGGTTTGAAGGAGAAGACTAAGAAGAACAGGTTGGTAGTTGGAGACAGGATGAAAATTGAAGGTTCTGTTTAGACATGGAACTTTAAACTTCCAAGTTAGAAGTAGTGAGTAGGTCATTGGATATGCAAATCTGGAGCTTAGTGATATAGTCAAGATTTGGAACTCAGAGGCAGATAGAAGATATTTTTGTCCATGGAACTAAAGATATTACCCAGAAAGAGAAGATGAGAGAGAGCGAGCGAGAGAGAGAGAGAGAGAGAGAGAGAGAGAGAGAAGAAAAAGAGAGAGAGAGAGTCATATGATCTAATATTTAGAAATTGGCAAAAGAGAGGAAGAACAACGGACAGAGAGTTGTGAAGGAACTGCTGGAGAAGCAGGAAGAAAACTGAGGATGTACAGTGTCATGGCAACCCAGACATCTTTTAGATAGATTGGTTCCCTAGGTACAGGGGAAAGCATTTGCCTGATAAAGGAACAGGAACATGTCCATTATACAAAAAAGACAGCGAGAGAGGAGAATGTGGACACAGGGCAGTTGAATGTGGATCTTTCGGTGGGGAAATGAAGCATTTCTCATCTTGTCATTTCTATTTTCTTAATGAAGTAAAGCAAGGTGGTTAGCTGAAACTAAAGGAAATCAGACGTGATAAGATAAGATGTGAAACACTTCTCTCAGCAAGCTGGAGAATTAATTGGCTAGGGATGTGAACAGGGTTTTCAGGCAGTTTTAAATGCCCATTTGGGCTTCACAGTTATCAATTAAAAGTAGACCATCAGCTGGCTCCTATGATTTCATGTTTTGTGCTGAACTCACAGAGAGTGGAAGATGGAGGGTGTTAAGAGTCCAGGGTATCCGGTCCCTACAGAGGAAACTAAAGCTAAAGAAGATGAATTACCTAATGTTGCTTACTCAGCCTCTAGGTAGCATTTGCACTCAGCTCTTTCTTTCTCCAAAATTTGTGTTCTTTCCAAGGAAAACGCCAAGAAGAGAGGAAACACAAACTCAAGGTGTCATTTTCACATGGTGGTCCCCAGAGTAGCTCCAAGTATTTGAACTGAATCCAATACTGTGTGTTATCTATGTGCATGACAGCCTCCTCCCAGAGGCCAGACTCCTAAAACATTATCACAGCTCAGCAGAGTAGCAATTGCACATCTTGATGAGCCAAAGACAATACATAACATTTTGTAAGAATTACATTTTGTTTCACTTTCTTGGTTTAACTAACAGAAATATTTAAAGTATTCTACAAAGTTTTCTATTCAAGACAGGTTTATATTACTTTTAAATTGTGTGTCTTAAAGGTGCAGCCTAAAATTGAGTACCTGTTCCCAATCACAAGTCACTGGGCTGCTTGAGTCTCAAGAGAGCAGGAAGGACCGTATCAGGGGGACAGTAAACAGCACAGCGGCCAGAGCTGAGGAGATGGTGTAGCTTTAAGAATGACTACAGTGATTAACCCTTTGCTTCTTCCATCTTCAGTCCAGTTCTTTCTAGTGCCTTAAACTCCATCTTCAGCAAGTGGGACCTCCCAGTGTTCACACTGCCCTTCAACATCGCAGTGACCCTATACCTGGCGGCCACAGGCCACTACAACCTCTTCTTCCCCACGACACTAGTGGAGCCTGTGGCTTCGGTGCCCAACATCACCTGGACGGAGATCGAAGTGCCCTTGGTAAGTTACCCTGTGGCAGATGAATTTGGACCCCCTGATTCCACTGTAGACCTTCTCTCTAACTTGTTCGGGCATTCCCCGTGCTCTCTGTTTCTCTACATGCCCCTCCCTCACATAACGAGTCTGGTGGAGAAAAGGACGGGAAAAGGTCACTGCTACCTTCATAGGGTCTTTCAACAAACTTTTGTTGAAACCCTAGCTGGTTTGGCTCAGTAGATAGAGAGCCCACAGGTTCAATTACTGTCAAGGGCATGTACCTCAGTTACAGGCTTGATCCCCAGCCCTGGTCAGAGCACTTACGAGAAGCAATCAATCTCTCTCTCTCTCTCTCTCTCTCTCTCTCTCTCTCTCTCTCTCTCTTTCTCTCTCGCTCTGTGTGTGTGTTTTCTCCTCCTCCTTCTCCTTCTCTCTTCCATCCTCTCTAAAAATTAGTGGAAAATCCTCAGGTGAAGATTAACAGGACACACACACACACACACACAGAAACTTTATTGAAGACCTTATCTGTGCCCTATCCATGAAGCATGAGCTGCAGTGACATGTGGCATTGCCAGAGAGAAAGGCCCCACCCACCCTGTATTGTGTGACTGTACAATCCAGCATTGAGGGGTCCATATTGGAAAGGGCCACAGAGAAGAGATGGCTCTTGTTCACCTTCAAAATAAACAGTTAGGAAATTGTAGAACCCAAACCCACGTACCCTGAAACCCAAGCACACTCTCTGAGCTTCCTACCCAACCATCACTCTGACAACAGGCTTCTCTTCTACACCATCCATAGCTGATTTGAAGACTCAGTGCCATTTCCCTCTTTCTCGTTAAAACAATGAGAGGAGTGACTTCCTTTTAGTTGAACAGGCATGTTGTTATTACATGAGGATTATCTAGAGTATGAGGAGCCTGGAGCTCAGTAAATTTCCACCACACACCTGATTTTCCCTCACACCAGGGTTTCAGCTGTGGCCTGAAAAGCAGTGGGGAGGGGAGGGAAGGCCTCCTGGGGCCATAGTTCACCAGGTCCTTATAGAGGCCCCTTTCCAAGTCAACTTGTTTCCTCATTCCTCTCATTCTTGGCTGCTTGGGCTTAAAATCTGCGTTCCCAGATAGAAGGTGGGAGCCCAATTCCCCTCAGCATTCCTCAGACTTCAGGAAGTAGTGGAATATTTATTGAGTAGCTTTCCAGCCTGTTCCCCCATTTAAGCTGAGTTCCATGGACTGGCACAAAGTGTTTCAGGTTCCTTTAAATAACACAGAGCCCTTATCCTGTCATTCCTTGCACTGTAGGGTCTAGCCCAGACAGTGCTTGGTTATTAAAAGGCCACCACCTCGGAGACAAGGGTGGACAACTCCTAAAAGCTCTCAAAGACTTCTCAAGAAAAAAAGAAATCATACTAACTTCAGAATACAATCAAGTTATGGGGGGAAAAAAAAAAAGTACAAAATTTCACCAATGGAAGAAAGACAATGAACTCCCAACATCTACAATAGATTGTCAATAACTAACCCATTGGTCCCCAAACTCCTTTGCACATCCAAAAACCCCTGAGGCCCGGTCATGCTCCATACCAGTTAAATCAGAAAGTCTGGGAGGAGCTAGACATCAACATTGTTTGTAAAGATATTTAGGTGGTTCCTATTTATACGAAGCTTAAAAACCACTAAGCTATTCAATACATTGTTATTAAGTACCTATTAAGTACCTTGCCACAAGGGAGCACTGTCCTCAAAAAGGTCAGTGGAAAAAAAGATATTGCAAGATTTTTCCACCTGGTAGTGGAAAAAAAGATATTGCAAGATTTTAAAGTTGGAATATCATCTACTGGGCCAGCCTCTTCATTAGAGAGGAAGGCAACAGAGCCTAAGTGAGAAAATGACACACCCATGGTCACACAACCTTGTACAGAGCCCCCCTGAAAGCTGAAGCCATGAAGCCCCAGGTCACACCCTCTCATCTTTTCATGAAGCTCTCCCTACCCTGCCAATCCCTTCCCTTCCTTGTTGCCCTTAAAACACAGCCAGAACATGGGTGATTTAGCTTGAGCGGAAAAAGACCATCTGACGTCACTGCCAGTTAATCATCTTCAATTCCAACATCACCAACTGATGCTCAGCTCAGGGACGGTTGGGCTTTGTGCTGTTGTCCAAAAGTTCTTCACATTATTTTCTTCAATGCTGAGTGCTCCTCCTTCCCTGGGGCCTCCTAGTCCTCAGGCTAACACTGAATGTGCAGCAGCCACAAAGAGACTAGGGGTCAAGTTCAGAGGTTGTACCTTGGCCTTGGCCAACAATATGCTGAGTGACCTTTGGACCAATCATCCATCAAAATGGCTTTGAATGGTCATAATATTCCTGGAGTATTTCTAGGATTTCCCGTAGTTCACTGAAATCCCCAATGGTAGTCTAGAGAAGAGGTTTCCTAAAAGTAGAAGCCATGTGTACCTCAGAAACACCCTGCCCAGCTCCTGCTTGGCTTTGCATGAGCAATGCTCAGATGCCTGCAAGGTGGTGAAGTGAGGAGTTATTTGTTCCAGGTCACACCCTCCCATCTTTTCTCACACACTGGAGGGCACAGCCATACTCCCGTTCAGCCCCATTACCCACCCACCCCACAGGAATGGCTCAGTCCTGGCCCCAAGTCCGGTCTTTGCATAACCAACCCACACTCCAATGACCTGGATTCTATTTACTTTGCAGCTGCTACAAGCCATCCCCGTCGGGGTCGGCCAGGTGTACGGCTGTGACAATCCCTGGACAGGTGGCGTGTTCCTAGTGGCTCTGTTCATCTGCTCACCACTCATCTGCTTGCATGCAGCCATCGGCTCCATCGTGGGGATGCTAGCAGGTAGGACAGCACCCCTCTCTGCAGAGATCGTTTTCCCATGGTCATTCTCACACACACATAACAAATATTCTAGACTTGCTATCCTCACTGGAGTTTGTAAACACTATCAAGTTACTTCTCCATTTTTTGACACTCCTAAGGGAGCAGATTGCAGTAGCAGGACACATGGAGAGATACAAGGGGAACGAAGACCAGTAGGCTAGCAGACTGAGCCCCTAGGAGCTAAGGGGTAGAAGTAGAACCTGATAGGCAGTGGCATAAGTGATCCAACACTTTGAAATTTTGAATAATCTAAAAGAAAAAATATTCTCAAAAATTGTATTGCCACTTGAAAATATAATTTAATATATGTATGTGTGTGTGGACAAGAGTCAGAAATTAGAGTTCGAGGCATTGAGAATAGGAACCTATTGACCCATTCCAATATTTTGGGGGAAAAAATGTCTTAGAAGCAGAAATTTTTATAAAGCTATCTGAAAAAAAATTTTCAAACTTATCTAAAATGAAAGTAACACCCATAATCATTTACCCAGATTCACTGATTGTACACATCTCACCCATTTTGCTGTATCATTTCTCTATCTCCATATGTCTGTATGCACATTCATGTTTTTTCTCAACCATTTGAAGCAGAAAGTTTTCAACTGAAATCTTTCTTACTAAAAATGTAGCTTCTCTAGCCAAAGAGAAGGCTAGAGTCCTATGGCCTTGCCCCCCTCCCTTCTCCTTCCCCCTGGAAGTAGCCATACATATGTGTAAAATCTTTGAAAAACAGCTTGGAAACTACTGCTCTCTTCCTATTACTAGTTTCCAGAGACCAGACACCATCTGTAGAGGCTCCTTTGATGGGTAGCTATAGCAGGTGTCAGGGGAAACTGCTGGAATGAGGCTACCCTGGGTCCCAGCACCAGCCACAAGATGCCTTTGTGCTGTGACTCAGAACCAGCCAGAAACACCATTCCTTGTCCCACAGCCCTGACAGTGGCCACGCCCTTTGAGATGATCTACATGGGCCTCTGGAGTTACAACTGTGTCCTCGCCTGCATCGCCATCGGGGGCATGTTCTACGCCCTCACTTGGCAGACCCACCTGCTGGCCCTTGTCTGCGGTGAGTATTTGGGAAAGCTGACAACCAAGTCACTCTATTCCCCCCTCCCACAAACCCACCTTTGGTGATGAAACCCATGGTGACCACTAATCAGAAGTGAGCAGCAGTGATAGAAGGACCAGTGGCTTGGGTCTTTCACAGCTGGGCGACTTGAGGTGCCTCTTCCATCACATAGTGCATTCCTACTCTCAATGACTCTTCATTCAACAATGATTTGTAGGGCACCACTAAGTTCTAGGCCTCAGGCAAGGCATAGAAGACACAGTAGTGTCATGAAGACATAGTCTAGCAAAAGAGGAGCCATTGCACAGTTATTAAGGTTGTGATGTCTAAAAGATTGTTGGGAAGATCTAATGAGATGGTGTACTTGGGATCATCAAGACCTAAGAAAAATATAATATAGCTCTATGGAAGCTTGAATGTGTAAGAATAAAGACAGAATGCTATGTCCAAGGAGATATTGAGCACAATCATTATATATGCACCCAGCACCACACTCTGTGCCATATAAACATATGAACCCTCCTAATCCTCCCAAGATCACTTCCAGGCATAGATTGTGAACCCATTTTACAGATGAAGAAATGAGACTCAGAGGGATTAATGAACCTAGAACTCAGCTATTAATGGCAAAAACAGGATTCAAAACCCAGTCTCATCTTTTCATCATCCTTTCTGCCCTAGTTTGCTTACATTCTCTGGAAACAGCAGGCTTTTAATAAGCAAAACTAGAGACAGAACAGAATAGCATCCAGGAGAGTTTTTCTTTTGTTTTCTCCCACTTTTGTGTGGAAATGCTAAATGACTTCCATGTCCCTTGTATTCCTCTCAGCATGGCACAAGGATGGGCATAGAGACAGTGACCTCCATAAATGTTTGTTAAATCAAAAGCACTGGGTATTTTGAAGGTCAGATTGGAACTGCCTTTGGCCTTCAAAAAAGTAGCAGGTTCCTGTGGCTAGAACCTTCTGGGGAGGCTTCAGAGAGAGGGTGGGATCTGGACAGGCAGAGAGGGGAGAAGGTGTTCTAGACAGAGAAATAGAGAGATCAAAGGGGTAAGGAAAGAAGGAGCTTATCCAGAAGCACCAGGAGTATGGAAGATCTCCCTTAACTATCCTAGGAGGCCACATCCTATGGTTGAACCCAGATGCCTGGCTCCTAGGGATGAGCTCAGAAACCCAATAAGGTCCAACTCTGATGGGACTTGGTGAGGGTCCAATGACATCATGGTTTCTCAGAATCTTGACAGGAAGGGCCCTATTTGGAGCTCATATAGTCTGACCACTCACTCCACAGACAAGTAATCATTCAGGCCTATGCTGGACCATCTCAAAGTCAGTGTGAACAAGCAAAAGATGCTTAGTGACCCCTGACTCTATGCAAGGCCACGATGGAAATGGCAGGGGATAACAGGATATATAAACCTTACCCTCTTTCCTCAGATAATGCACAGTCTGGTGGGGGATGGGCCATATGTCAATATGTGGTGTAGACACTGAGGCTGCTGGAGACAGGCTGAGATCCCTGCTCTTGAAGAGGGTTAGGGGTGGGCCCTGGGAGCTGACTAGATGATCCTTATTCCTCTGCAGCCCTGTTCTGTGCATACATGGGAGCAGCCCTCTCCAACATAATGGCAGTGGTAAGTTCATACTCTCCAGAACACTGTGCTCTTCCCTAGCCAGTGCTTCAGAATGTTTGGACTCTTAAGGAGGAATCCTGAGTGAGTTATAGTAGCCAATACGAATGCCTTTGTCAAGGTTTATCTAGGGTTTGTCCTGAGAAGTGCTGGCAACTGGGTACAGTTGCCTCTGAAGTGTGCATGGTATGTGTGCGTGTGTGTGTGTGTGTGTGTGTGTGTGTGTGTGTGTGTGTGTGATGCAACCAACAGTGGAGAACAAGGATGCACAGAAAGTACTTGTGTTTGGCTAGATGTTGGAGGCCATCATTTCAAGGCCAATTTTCAGCTCCATCATTAAAAGACTCTGTTTGTTTCCAAAAGTGACAACACCTCAAATTCATAGACCAACTCCTCTGTCCTTATGACTCCAGAAACCAATGCTGTCACTAGGGGAGATGTCCTAATCTCAACCCCTACCACACCCTTCTCCCCCAGGATCTAGGAACATTTTCAGATACCAGTGCTTTTGCTTCCAGGTTGGTGTACCACCAGGCACCTGGGCCTTCTGCCTCTCCGCCCTCATCTTCATGCTCCTGACAACCAACAACCCTGCCATCTACAAGCTGCCCCTCAGCAAGGTCACCTACCCAGAGGCCAACCGCATCTATTATCTGACCTTGAAAAGCACTGAAGAAGAGAAGTCCCCCAGCGGTGACTAGCCAAGTTCCAGGCAGAAATGCTTTTTGCCTGAACCTTGTTCTGCTCCCTGTGGTCTCGATTCTGGGTCAATCAGCTACACCACCTGCTTTCTTTGCCTCTCTTGCACCTGTGCAGAACCAGACACACCAACAACTCTCTTTCCTGATGCTGGTTTTCTCTCTCTGACCAAATTGCCACAACTATTCATCATGTGACATTAGAGGAAGTTAGTAACAAGCTTACTAGAGTTAGAAGAAAGGTACATGTTTTCAAAGTCATCGACTTAAAACAAGAACATTATTTGTTTGTATTTAGTATTTGGGAAAGGTGATTAAGAGATAATCTTGTTGGCATGTTTAACTAAATAATAGATGCTGTGAAATTTATCTTAATTAGTGGTTCCTAGGCAGACACAGAGTGAATGAAAATTCAGGAGACAAATGCGAAGAATTGAAGGCACCGTAGTACACAGAGCTAGTGGCTGATGGGCACATTCAGCTTTACATAAAACCTTACACTGATAACATTTTAAAATTGAAATAGGGACAATGAGTGCACTGGAAGTGTCTAAATATGAAGTCTCAAACGTATAGTGGTCAGAGTAAAGGGCAAGGTGATATTCCATAGGAAGGAATTAATTAATTAGAATCTTACATGTGACTTTTTTATGAAGAATAAGCATTTCTCTGTGTAACTCAAATCAGCAACTTTGGGCAGAAATTTCAGTTGGAGAAAATACCTGAGCTCATTTGTGAATAGCTGGGAAAGTTTATTCCATTTTTTTTTATTTGCTTATGGATATTGGAGGCTCTTTAAGATCTGATATTTCAATGGTTAGCCTTGACTTTAGATAAACTGTTATTTATGAATTTTATAATTTGGCTTCCCAATTAATACAGTAACTAGCCTGAGTTTAGTCTTTAGTTGTATATAGATCAGGAGTTGACAAACTTTTTTCTGGAAAGGGTCAAATAGTAAATATTTTTGGCTCTGAAGGCCATAGTCTCTTTTGCAAATACTCAACTCTATCATTATAGTGAAAAGTAGCCTGGGATGGTATATAAGTGAATGGGTGTAGTTGAGTTCAAATAAGACTTTATCAAACAGATAGCAAGCTAGATGTGGCCTCCAAACGGTAGTATGTCAGTGCCTGCTACACAGAGCCAACATAACAATGGTCAGGCATGGTTGGACAATCAGCAGGCCTAAAGGAAACCACCAGGTTCTATACCACAGGCATGTATCTGCCAGGTGATGGTGTGAAAATTCTTAGGAAGTAGAGAGATTAAAAGTGGTTGGAGATGAACAACAGAAAGTGAGATTAGTATGACCAGACTCAGGAAGATGCAACCTGAGGCTCTCAGAGAATGACAGACACAGTGTTGTGTACCAATGGGTACAGGTTTAACTGTACATCCTTCCACACAGATGTCTGGGAACCACTCCTAAGGCTCACTGTCCTCCACTTCCTCACCCTGTTCCGCCCTCTGCCAGCGGGCTCACCACTGTACAAGGAAGAAAAAAAACCATGACCCTTCAGAAGCCCAGAAGCTTCCAACAGCAAGAGCAGGGAGGCTCATAGAAGCTCAGGGTTAGAAGGGAGTGTGAAGGCCATATAATCCCTCATCTTGTGATGCAGAGGCTTCTATAGGAAGCTTGGGGCTTCAATTCCCATCCAGGCTTCTAGCCAGGGCACAGTTAACCAAAATGGAAGGGAGACCCCAAGGTATTCTAAGAAGAGATAACAGAATCAGAGGTACCCCGATAATTGCCCTAGGAAATTGCCTCTTTTCTCCATTAAGCCCTTGAGAAGCTCCACCCAAGAACTGAACCATCTTTTATTGGATTTCAAGGAGAGGAAAACTAGTTGGATATGAAAATTCTTTCAGCTCACTAGAGTAACTTTATCTCCTTCCCTCTCTTCTCTTCCCTCCCCACTTCATAGTTTGTCTTTTATGAGGTACCACTTTGATCACAGGGATCTAGGTCTTGTGAGGGTTTTTTCCTCCCAAGTTTCCACGTTAACAACCCCCAACCCTCTCCCACCCAGGAATGAATAGTTTAACTATTTTACAAGATGCCAAACTCATTTGAAGACAAATGGATAAAAGCTAAGTTAGTCAGAAAAAGGGGAAAAAAATATCCCCAGCAAGTCTGGAAAAACCACAGGGCCCCAGAAAGTCTATAATACACTGTGACCAAAATGGCAAGATATTTATGTAGAAATAAAAAATAAAAATAAAAATAAATATTATCTGCTAGTTTGAGCAGAAGTAAAAATCCCCAGGCCTCTGAGAAGTCTGCCCTGTGCAGGTAACCCTGTGTACAGGCCACGGACAGATGCCCAGATATCCTCTGAAGTAGCCCAAAGAGTCTCATGGGTTAGGAGAGCTCCCTGGAGTGACCTTGCCCCACCTTCACCAACACTTCTCCATCTCACCGACACTCTGAATGAGTAGAGGCAGGAACCCTGAACTTACAGATTCTCACCACCAGCATGAGGTTGCAAGGGTGCAGGCCACTGATATTGTCTACTATCACCCCAAATAGCAGCAGGAGCTTTTGGAAAACTGAACATAAGTATTTGTGGCTGAACATTAATAAGCAGTCATTAGAGAGAGAAGGAATATAAGTGTGGGGCTAGGGAGAAGGGGACTTTAAAGGAAACACTGTCTTAAAAATCTTTTCTATCATGCACACCCCTTTCCCCTGTCCTCTCCCCAAATCTTATCATCTCTCCCTCTGGCCTCACCATCTCCTCCTCCCATTTTCATCTTCTCTGCTATATGGTAGAGTTTTATTGTCATCGTGGAATAGCATTGTCCTGCTGTATTTTTAAATAATTTGATCTTGAATCGTCTTTCTAATCACTTTTATGATAATTGACATAGTCAAGTTTTCTACTTCTTGGTCAAACTTGAGAGTTTGTTTGCTTGAAAATAATCTATTTTCTTTAGTTTTAAATTTTTGACACCATAGAGTTACTCATAAAGTTTTTACAATAATTCAATCTCTTGTGTATCTGTGGCTTTATCTCCTTTGTAATTTCTAATTTTATGTGATTTTGCTTTCTCTTTTCCTTAATCAGGTTTGTGAGAGATTTACTCATTTTATTGGCTTTGACAAGGAAGTAGTTTGGAATTAATTTGTTATTTCTACTTGTTGTGGTTTGTTCTTTATTTTATTGATTTTTTCCCCTATTTTCTGGTGTTTTGTTTAAATGTTCTTTTTTTTTTCAAGTGTTTTAAAATTGATATAAAGTTTCTTCATTTTAGATATTTTTCCTTTAATGACAAAGGCATTTAAGGCTATTGATTTTCCCCTGAGTTCACCTTTAGCCATGTACTATAGGTTTTGAAATAAAATATTCTACTTTAATCAGTTTTTAAATAGTTTGTAATTTTAGTTTTGATTTCTCTTTGATCCAAGGATTATCTAAGAATGTGTTTCTTAATTTCCAGTATGTAGGATCTTTTTGATACTTTTAAACTTTCTATACTTAGTTTTATTGGACTAAAGACAGAACAAACATGGCCTATAAAATCTCTATTTTAAAACTTTATGAATTTTTCTTTGTAGCCAATTACTTGATTAATTTTGGACATATAAGATGCAAATTTTTATTTGAAAGAAAGGCATATTAAATTGATTTATTAATGGCATCATTCAATTATTCTATGTGCTTATTTATTTTTTGTGCATGGGATCTTAATTTTGAAATGGGTTTATTAAAATTCAACTATAATTCAACTATAATTAATTTAAGCTAAACTCTTTCGTATTTGTAAAACCTTTGCCTCATATATGTAGCAGCTATATTATTTGATGCCCATTGTCTATCATTTATTCTTCATAGATTTTTATCTTTTACTATTACAACTGCTCATTTTATTCTCATTAGTGCTTTTAACCTCTTATCAGCTTATTAATGTTGCCACACCTACTTTTTGAAATTTTCTTAGACCTTTGTTTTAAGCATTATCATTTTCTTTTAACTATATATCTTAAAAAATAACATAGAGCAATGTTTTGTATTTAAGCTAATCTAAGTGTTTCTGTAATTTAGTAGGATAATTCAACCCCTTCATATTTATTGTGACAATCAATATGTTTCTTTTATTTATTCCACTTTGTTTTTACTATTTACTTTTTGTTACTGCTTCTGTTTTCCTAACTTTTCTTCTTTTGCACATTCTATTATGTTACTATCTTTTTTTCTTTTCTTTCCTTTGTTTATTTGGAAGCTCTTCTATATTTCTTCCATTCCACTAGTGGTCACTGCTTCTTTCCCAGTGCTCATAAGCAAAACTATATTTCTCTGTTGTTATATAAAAGCAAGACACCAAATAAAACTATTTATTTTTTATAAAATAAATAGTTTTATAAAAACACAAGCTACCCCATTTTGCCAATGCTCCTTGCTCACCCTGTGGGATGAAAACCTTTGCACTACTTTCACTCCTCCCCAAGGTCCCCATCCCTAACACACTTACTTCTCCAATATTTTCCACCTCTAGATTTTGCTGAGATCATTTTTTATTTTCCCCTTGCAATATTTATCTTTTAAAAAAAAACGGAATTGTTTCATCGTCCTTTTGGAGTTAACTATTTATATTGGGCATGTTACCTTTTATCACTGTTTTCTCTACTCATCACCTTCCTGTTTTGTAATCTTGGTTCTTATTCACTAATTACCTGTTTAGGAGCCCTTCTTTTTTATTTTCTTCAAATAATATATGACAGAATACAGGTGTCACGTTCTCTGACTGTTTGCATGTCCACAGTTCCTTTCTCCTGCTAAGTGAATGGCATTTCAGCGGGGAGTGGGTGTCTGGGCTATAGCCTTTCCCCTCAGTTGTCTGGAGGTGTTGTGTCTTCATTTTCTGGCTGCCAAGTGTTACAAATATGAAATCTAATGTCAATATCATCCTTTCATTTTATAAACAACCTGTTCTTTCTTTCTAGAAGGTTGTAAGATTTTCTCCTTATCTTTGGAGTTCAGGGGTTTTATGACATTAAACCTAAGTCTTTTCCTATCAATACTGCCTTTCAAGTTGCAAACTCAAGAAAGCTTCAGCTAACTTTTGTCCGGTTAGTGCTTTTCCTCCCTCTCTTCCCTTTTCTATTTCTGGAATGCCTATTATCCATTTTTCAGTTCTCCTTGGTCTCTGCTCCAAGTTGCTCATCTCCTTCACAATGTTTACCATTTGTATTTTTGCTCTACTTTGAGATATTTCTTCCACCTAATCTTCTAGACCACTGACTCAGACCCCAACAGTAGCCTGTCTTTTCTTCAATTCAACAGATAAGTTGAATATTTTAGTTCAATATTCATGTTTTTCATTTTACAGTATCTTTGGGATGGGAGTCACAATTGAATCTCCAAGTGTGTTTCTATTATTCTTTTGTTGTTGTCTATCTCCTCTTGCTCTGTAAATCAGAAACAGCTTCTGGTAACTCGTGGCCCCAAATGTATGCTGTTATCCTTATTCCCTGACTAATAGGCCCCTGTATTGGTAGCTCAAGAACACTTGCCAACTTGCATGAGACCAGGCCCTAGAAACTCTGACTTGTGGCCTGATCTCATTCACTCATTCACCCAAGTGACATTGTATGAGGAACTATTAATATGTTACTCAGGCCCCCACTTGACAACAAACCAGGAAAGACTCAGACCAGTTCCTGCCTTCAAGGAATTCATTTTATGAGGATTTGCCTGGCCAGGTGAGTAGTCTCAACTGAGGTGGATATGTAGATCATACCAAAGATTGCCTGAGCCATATAAGTTAACAGCACCAGTTTCATTATTTGAGTGAATTTATCTGTTGGGTTGGAATTCTTCTCAGAATAAGTATCAAGGAGAATTTTAAGGGTCCCGGAAACTTTCTGGGCCTGTCCTCCTCCTGTCTTCTATCTTGCCATTACCTGTGCCCAAACATTCCCAGCCATCCTTTATATTTATACCTATTAAAATGTAAACAGTTCTGGGAAGGTAACACAGTAAGCATGATCAGTCATTTGCATCTTAGGTTAAAGGAATGATTTCTGGGAATAGGTTGAATGAAAAAGGAGAGGAGAGTACAAAGGAAAAAATGGGTAGCACATTTTAAGAAAGTCTTTGGCAAGGAAGGGTCTGCTGAGTGACTAAGGTCTGAAGCCCCTTTGGCTCATCAGGAATGCTAGTGAAGGTGCTGTATTTGGTTTAGAGAAAAGAAGAAATGGCAGGTCTACAGTATGAGGTAACACATGTGGAAGAATAAGTCAACTTACTCAAAGTTACTTTGGAACATGAAACAAGGAGGGAGTGATAAGCAGGCAGACTTTGAATCAATGGAGAGGGGTGCTTTTTAACACTGGATGTTGTCCTGTGAAACCCTGAGTTCCTCGCTCTGGTAGTGCAGACCAGGAACTAGAGGCCTGTTGGGGATGCTTTCTTTGGTGGGGGTAGACCAGATAACCACTGTAGACTTTCTCTTCCAACTCCAAATTTCAGTGATTCCATGGCCCTGAGTTCCTACAGAGAAATGAGAAGGAGATATTACTAAAGTGGTAAAAAGTTAAGAACATAGAGATGGAATGTACCCAAAATATACCATTGTTGCCTTTACAGTTTGTCCCAGGGCTTAACTGCCTAGTCATGGGGTCAGTTTACCAAAATGCTTACCGTGGTTTTTTGTGTGAATGCAAGGTGAAGCACCAATGTCACTCAGCTATGCCTGTCCTTCACCTTCTCCTCCTAATCACTCTCTTCTCTCAAGTGGTTCTTCTGATCAACCCCCTAAGATCTGCTCATCAAGATACTCAATCTTCCTGGCCTGTATCTGTAGCTACATCAAACCCATGTGCTTTCTTTTGTGTGCGTGTGTGCTTCCTGTAAGAGTCTTTGCTTTCTTGGGTCATAAGGCTGCAAGGGCCTGGGGACAGCTATAACATAAAACCAGTTTCAGGGTGACTATGATTTCTACTCAATAAACCTCAGTCTCATTTGGCAATTTTAAAGGGCTTCGTGTGTGTTTTATTAAATATATTTTTAGTAATTTCTAAGGGGAAGGTTGAGGGAGAGCGTGATAGACACATCAATGCTAGGGCTGAGCCCGCAACCTGGGCACATGCCCTGACCAGGAATCAAACCCTGACCTCCTGGTTCTTAGGTCAACGTTCAACCACTGAGCCACACCAGCTGGACAAAGTCTTCATTTTTTTATGTGAGATTTTTTTAACTTGCCTGCCTTTTCCTCCCTCTTGCCATTCTGAGAAGATAGACAAATCCATAGGGAATCCTTCTGTCCTTCCAATGTCCCAAAGAGGGAAGTGAGGAGAGTACCAGAAAAGTCCTCTTAAAGAATGTGAATCAATAATTAGGAGCCCTCAGCCTTTCCTACGGCTGCACAGGCTGCTGGAAAAGATGAAGTAAAGGAAGTAGCTCTCTAGAGAACATTTAGCTCAGCTTGCATTTATTCCTCATAAACTCGGACTTCTTCCTCTGGAAGAATCGGACCTCTCCAAGGTTAGCCTCTGGTGGTCAATGCAGTCTCCTCCCTCTGAGATGTGGAAATATAGAGTTGAAGGGAGCCATGAGCATTGGAAACTTCATTCTGAAGTGAATTGTGATTAACTGAGCCTCAAGGGAATAATCTGTAGGTATAGGCAGATATCTTGGGGAGTTGTTGGTTAATTTTTCTTCATTATGAATTATTTCATATCCCAGAAGAAGGAACAAAAGTTGCCAAAACAAAACCCAAAAGCCCACCTGTGTATCATTACATTTGTGACACCCAATAAAAGTCCAAGGAAAGTTCTGGGCCATTGTACACCAGTCTTTGATAGGACCTGTCAGAAACAAAATTCCATCATGGTCTTCTGCTTTCTAGGAGGGCATTTGGTTGCCCGCACCCTGCTTCTATTGTGTTTGACTGATATTCACTACACTTCCATTTGGCTCATAGAGTGGCATGTGAACTCCCTGCATGGAAGTTCTTCAGAAATAGACATTTCCTGTCTTTTCAAACTGGTTACATGTTGTGCATGGGTAGCATCCCCCTGTTGCTTCTGGTGCAGATGCCTAGGGGGCTGGAGTGAGGTAACCACAAGAATTTCAGGAGATGCCAGTGCAAAAGGATAAGGGATGAGCATACAAGGCTGAACCAAGGGACCAGAAATCTGGAGAATAAGAAAAAATCTGGTCAGCAAACAGCCATGGGCCCTGAACTTGCAATACCAAGGGAGGGACCTCTGTGCAGAAAACAGGTCTGCAGTCAGCTCCCACCTGTTCCTGGAATTTGGGGCCTGCCAGGTTCCTCTCCCCCACCTCACCCCCATCTTTGTTTGCTTTGCTTTTTTTGAAGGTCGCTCCATGATCAAATCAAGACCCCTCTTTGGCAGTTCCATAACACCTGGCACAGTGGTTAAGGGGATTTGACGTCAGTAGGGTTTTTATCTACTCAGGTGTAGCTAATTTCTGCAGTGACAGGTTTTGTTTCTGAGCTTGGGTAGGCCACCTCACATACTGTCACAGAGTCGGGGAAGGGGGAGAGGAGAAGGATACACAAGCCCAAGGGAAGGGAGGGTAATGCTTGACCTATCATACCACAAAGCCAAACAAAACATGTTTTGATTGGGCCCCCTCCCCAAACCCCAGCGTTCTAAATCCCACAGCCTCATGGGACTTGGGAG